CTACCCAAACTGTGAATAAACACAGGGCTCAACAAGTGATACATTGGCTGGGCTGAAATGATATGAATACCATATGAATAGCAACTGTTGAACAATGCACCGGTTACCCACAGTTAAGCACACAGGAGTGATTAACCCAGAAAATGCAAATTGGAACAAATATGAAATGAGGAGGTACAGAGTGTTCATTGGGTTAGTAGCACGGAAGGATATTGGTAATGTTAATTATAACATTAGTAAATGTAATACTAAGAACACAGTGACTACACTTGATGCGATAGTTCGTGCATAGCAAAATGTATTCGTGACTTAGGTATGACTGAGGATGGAAGTGGGGATTGGCTAGGCTTGTGGGTGCATGACGATTCCATTTTCAGTACACATACTGATGTATACAATTATAATAGCGGGTCAGGAACTGCTACGAATCACTGCCATTGCCGAAATTTACTCCTCGTTTTTGACAAATACATATTTTTCAATGCAGTGGTCTTGGTGTTGCATATAAGTTTGTATGAAGCAGTGAAATGATGGACCAATGTTACTTTAATGAAAAACAACAGCAAACCAAATGGAACATTGTAGGTGTATGACGAATACAAACCAGTACACATACAGATACATAACGTTGTAATAGTGTATGACGAACTGCTACGGATAGCTGCTAGTGCCGAAATTCATTGTTCTTTTGACAAATTCACTTAACATTTTAATGTCATGGTTTTAAGATTGCAGCTGTACCGGCATTCATCTGGCAATACGGCTCGATGTTGCATATAGGAATGTATGAAGTAGTGAAGTAATGGACCAATGTTAAATTCATGATAAACGACAGCAAAACAAATGGAACAATGTTGGAAATGAAGGTGCGCAAAGAAGTGGAAGTTCAATAAACGTGTCTCTGTGAAAAAGCGATAACGACAGCTGATTAGACATAAGCCCTACTCACCTTCAAATCGGCTCGACTTATGAACCACGGAAAAATCAAACGATACAAACGAGGATATGGTCTAATCAAATAAATTATATGCTTCTGCGAGATCTGTTGCAGTTGTTACTCATGTGTGAGGCTTAGTAACCCCGGCTGCACATACGGGCATGTGTAAGCACAAGAACTGAAGGAACTAATGTGTTCTACAACGACTACTGGTACCAGAGTATTCAATAACAGAATGCAGTTTAAAAACCTGTAGATCAAACTTACAGAAACCAACAGCAAAATCCTAAAAGAGCTGTATAAATGCGTTGGTATAGTGTTTAAGGTTCAGTTCTTTGGCATGGGGATCTCCGGCAAGAGCGCAGGCGCCCTTAACCAAAGATGAACGACGAGATGAAACAAACAAAGATCCAAAGATAATACCAGAACTGTTGTGCTTATTGCTGCTTTGGTGTTTTTTCGCTTTGCACATTTCCTTACACAGTGCCAGCTACCCATAGCAAATAGAACCAAAACCCACACGACCAACAAAAACACAAAGAACAAAAACAACAAGAAAAACAACAACTCCAACCAACACAACATAAAACCAAAGCAGTCCCGGCGTCGTCGTGGATCTTTGTTTTTTTCGGTTTTTTGGTTTCAGGCTGGGGGCTGGAAGCCACGCGAGCATGGACCACCAAAGACACCCAAATCTCAATGCAGTTCCGGATTTTCTCTTAAGATCTTTGTTGCTTTTGTGGTTTTTGGGTTGAATGGTTAAAGCCGAAAGCCGGGCTGGAATCCGGAAGCCACCAAAACGGCCAGAATCGCCGGTGGGTGCGGGGTTTTGAAGGGGGTGGTCTGTCACCAAAGGGGGGGGGGGCTGCGGAGCGCCTGACCATAAAACAAATATGTGTGTATATATATATATGTATGTATGTATATGAAATATGTTCACATATAGAACAACACATACAAATGTAATGATATACCATACAGTGTTTACAGGAGTTTACAAGGTTACCACATGTATGTAAGTATTGTACATGTATGTATGTATGTATGTATGTATGTATGTATGTGTGTACCATGTACATAAACTCTCAAGTCGGATGTGTCCTCGCTGAGCAAGAAGAGCACGGCTTGGATCCTTGGCGGCTGCTGCGAGATGGAAATTGAGACTCATGTGGATTCCTCACCAACAACCCCCCTGCCTTAACTGCTTTTCATCGCCGGTGGCAGTTCTCTCCGACTCTCACACTCCAGAAGGGTTTAGCCTGTCTTTGCGTTCTTTCTATCTGCCCTGGGTTCAAGGATTCGGGCTTAGTCGAAGCTCTGGCTGCAGTCCGGAGTTGAAGCTGGCTCGGCAAGCAGTGGTGCAACGCCACAAAGCATCTGTGCCATGCACTGCGTGGTTCGAATGATTTGCTTGCTGAGTGGCCTCAGGAACAGGGTGTATGTCTTTGTAAGTGGCTGTTTGCATATGTTTCGGTACCTGACTGTAAGTAGAGAAGGCTAAAATGTGAGTACATGTACATATACAATAGAAATAGCACTAGCTGTACATGATTGTGTCTTACGTTCTTGCATATGTCTATGTGCACGTCGAATGTAGAAGCTCTTGCGTGCATGTGCCTATGCATGCACATATATGCATGTACAGAACCATGACGCACTCCGCACGACTTGCCATGGTGATGAAACAGAAGAAGGCCCGCCATGTTCATAATCTTGGGAAAACCCTCGACAAACGCCCACCTGATTGTCCATGAGACACTTGCAAGGGATTCTCACGCTACCTTAAACCCGAAGCACCAACACACACACTCTAATCGAACACCCTGTCAGTTGTTTGAAACTTCAGGGGCTCATCTTCCAGGCAAAGGACACCTCTTCCGGCCGGCCCAAACGGCGCAGCGGCACGGACTCCTCGAAGTAGGTGGAGGCTGCCATGGTGTAGCACACAATGAATAGAATGCATGCCGTTACTTATTGGTGGAACACACCTATCTCGCGATGCACTTCTCCCACAAAAGCTCGTCTTAGCCTTTCTCTGAAGTTGCCTGAGAGCCTGACCTCTCCACAGGCTTCAATGAGCGGTAACCCATCATCTCTCTGTCAGGACATGGCATTCATGGCCTCTGTCCGCACTTTTCAGACCTCCCCTTGAACACAGGATTGCCCCGAGCGGTCTCCAGCATCTGCTTAGCAACCTGCTCATTATCGTTGGAGTAGTACCGCCTTGGAAGCGTGCTCAGGCATAGAGTCGTTTGGCAGCACTAATCTTCCGTACCCCTCTACAAATCGATCCTGGATTCGCCCTTACGGCAACTCTTACAGCAAGCCCTTGAAGAAAACGTATATATATAGCAGCCTTCTAGTAACCCTAAGAGTTAACCTCCTACCCTTACAGTCACTGTCTTCGGAACCGTGGTAGCGACACCCCTCAAACCCCCCTACGTGTTTTCCCCGGGTTCCGACCATTGAAGCTCAAGCTGCTCGGGAGCTCCGGTTGGATTTGCCTTCGCCTGAAGATCCACCTTTCGACTAAGCACTGAGGGGCACCCGGGGATGTGTAGCTTTGTTTTGATTTTTTCCGGGGTGTAGCCATGAGATGAGCACAAGGATATCATCACTATCACTGTCAGCAGCATCCACTATCATCTTCATCAAAACCAGCACCATCATTCGGTAGGCGTCGCCAACAAAATGCCCACCACCGGTCACTAGTAGACACTTGAACTTGTATAAAAACCAAGTAGCCGGTAATCACAAGACCATTTGCCACTTTGAGGAGAATGTCGCAACGACTAGTGGGCACACACTCAAGCTCGAATATGCATCAACTGGCATAGGTTCCATGACAGGATGTTGGGTGAAGGCAGGACCAGTGGTATTCATAAAGCAATCGCCGCTGCCACCGCTGCTACACTACCAGACAGCAATTCCGAAGCCCCTGCTGATCGCGACCAGCAACAGCAACAGTGACATCACTACAATTCCACAATCACAAAACAATCAGTAGTAATCGCATCCCCCTTTGAAAAAGCACCACCTAATAATAAAAACACTTTGCGGCGACTCCTCCGGAAATCATCCCTGCCCTTTAAACCCTATTATGATTTTTTTCCTCTTCTGAATTGGGGGAAGCGTTTCGAGGCTCCAAATACCCTTATAGCAAATGCAAGAGCAGGAGTTAGAGCAAGAGCAAAAGCGACAGCATCGGCAAGAGCAGCAGCAAGAGCAACGCAAAAGCAAGAGCGGGAGTAACAGCAACAGCAGGAGCAAAAGCCAGCGCGGGAACAAGAGCCAAAGCTGGAGCAAGAGCCCGACCCCTCAAAAGTGGCAGTAACTATAAAAAATACACCCTAATCCTAAAACACTTTCCGAGTTTTTTTGGAAGGAGGGGGCCCCCCATCCGTTCAATGTTAGGGGGAAGTGAGGACTAATGATAGGGGTGCACCGTTCCTTTTTAACAAGGAGGGACATCACAGAAGTCATCCACCCTGAAAAGTACTCCAGCCAAGATGTGCGACCGAATTATCAGCAGCCTGACGATGCCGCATGAGTGGCTTCTGCATCGTACCACTACGATACTGCCAGTGGCCAACACGAAGATCAAGTCGTGCCACGAAGCCCGTGCTTCCGCGGAAGCCCTGCCTGCCGCAGCCACATGAAGCCATCATCGGGCCCGATGAATGCCTCGAGCTGCTCTTGAAGTTCAGTTGCTAACGCTTTCGAGACCTACGATCCCTGCGCCTGCCCATCGCATGGCATGTGTGGCCAAGGGTGTGGGACCCATTCTTTCAGGACCACACCCGGATTCCGAGCTGACGGATAAATCAAACGACGCTCACGTGCATGGACAATTTACAGGAGTAGTCGAGTTATCACATAGGCAGAATGGTCTTGGTGGTCATTGGGAGAAAGAAGGAGCCAGAACGGCAACAGTAACAAACACACATATCTTCCTACGAAAAGAGCTAGAATCGATTATGAAAAAGAGAAGCTGCCTCTCAGCTAAACCTTAAACCCTTGTGCTGCAGACTTGCATGCAAGAACGCAAGGTAGGTAGCCACTCTTAAACCCTAAACGGATCCCGCACTCTTACCTTCAGCCGGCCTTCTAAGGGCAGCACCGGACTTACGGAATTCACGCGGATGTTGCTGGGTGCCAGATCCAGAGCAGCAATCTTGGTCAAATGGAGGACGGCAGCCTTGCCTGGCTATTACACTGTATGATCTTACATTTTTACTTTGTTGTATTATGCTAGATAACATGATCTTATATTGTATTGTGTTGTATCGTCATATGATGTCATGTGCTAGATTCCCCGCTAGCCCCGGAATGATAGGGGTACCCTTTCCTGTTGGCTTCATTGGTTTAGGGCTGACTAGGGACAAGTTTCTGGGTTTATAGGGTGTCGGGTTTACAGGATACAGAGGGCTTGTAGGGCGTAGGGCTCACATTGCTTTAGGGTTTATACAGTTTTAAGGGTCTTTTTGGCGATTGGGTTTGTAGGGTCTTGGATGTTTCTTGGAGTTTAGCCACCATTTTAGCCTCGGTCTGGGGATGGGTGGGGAAACTTGACCCGGGAGGGCATGCTCGGACAATAATCACAGGCATCTATGGGCAAATCTTCTTGGATTCTTTGCATGGGCATTAACTTTCTCATGAACTGTTACGAAGCGAGGGCCGGGAGTCTAGTACACTTCCCGAGGCCAGGCAACTCGTAGCATAGCCAGTCATCATCGTGGGACAGCCCAAGCCGGCACAGCTGGCTGTGTTCACGATGGCACCCCCCTTCCTGATCTCCATGCAACAGGCAAGACGTGGAACGTTGCGACGATGAATGCAACTTCGTGTCTTCAGCCCCGAATAGTTGACAATTTAGGTTGATCTGCTGAGGATGAGCGACTGGGTCATGTACTAAGCCACTAAGTCATGTACTGTGACTGCTATCTGCTGAGCTTTAGAGAGCACACAGGCAAGGCACTGCTCCACCATCACCTTCGATACGTGCTTGAGAACCGCGAACACGCCGGTCACGTTGATCTTCATCACCTGCGGGTCGCTGAAAGCCAAAGCAGCGACTTCGACTGAAGACCGGAAGTTTTGGCTTTCGGTCGCTTTACTGCGATTCTGGCACCCCCGCCTTCTCGAAGTCCTCGAAGCTGTAGGTATCCACAGGAGCAAATCTCAGGGCATGCCAACAAAGCGATAAAGCCACCCTATGTCTGCTTCATGATTCATTCTTCATTCGCATCCGGTATAGCAACTAGCTATTCTACAATCACTAATCATTATAGCTGAGAATACCAACCGGGTAGTCTCGACCTATGCAGGCGAGAAGCAGGCCCTGGTAGCCAGCATTGTTGAACAAACAATCAATGCAACCTCAGTCAAAAGTTCATTCCCGGCTTCTTTTGCAGGATACTGTTTTTTGCATTTACTTCTGATTCCAGGAATGGTCAAACAAGCGAAGCGATGTGCCAAGGAGCCAAACTCCGTTTTCACATCTGCAACCATCTTCTCTATCTCTGCCTCCTTGGTGACCTGGTCATGAGTTTCTGGTTTCAACGTCCGCCAGATGCTCCTAAACATTGGGCCCTGAACGGGTGAGGCCACTTGATGGATTTCCACACATGCGTAGATTGGCTTCTGCCTCTGCATCTATCATAATGCATGAGCTTGCCGGAGCCCATCAGCTTCCTCAAATTGTCTGCCGAACCGGCCATCGTGCCGAGATGCGTCCATAACAATTGCTTTGACATGGGCGCTGTAAGTCTTTTTGATGTCTTCGGCGACAGACTCGAGCTTGTCCTTCATTGCCGACTCGGAGAATGCCAAACTTACTCTGGTCTGGCAACGAAAGGCTGGGACGATGGTGCAGCAATGCCTGCTCCAGGCAGCGGGGAACCGAGAAGCTCTAAGCCGTTGGTTGGGTCTGCTTCTTGTTGCCTTGCTCTGCATGTTGTCTTTACTTACTAAAAAAGCTTACGGAGCCCTTCGCCTATGAACTTCAAGTAATGCTATAATTAGCTATAGTCATCCCCAAAATGGCAGCTGGTCCAGTGATTGGTCCTGCTGTCAAACCGGGGCTGAAGAATGATGTCGTAGCGGTCTCGCTATTCTTGCGGGCACTAGAACCGTGAGTCTTAACATGATTGCTCGTGCGAGAACCCCGTACTGGTGCGTGTGCCCGAGCATCCCGGACTCCACTTCGGTCCTTGGCCAAGTCCACAAGTGCCTCACAGGGCTATGAGATCCTCTGCCAGACTATTCGACTACTCTTGCAGATTTTGACAGGTGAAGCAAGCAGCCAGAATATTCGACTAATCTTGCAGATTCTGACAGGTAAAGCAAGCGTGCCAACAACTTGCCGACGAGGAGATGCCGACAACACAACCTCCTGGCAACAGGATCCAGCCGTTGATACCAGCCAGCCCAGGAATTCTGAGTCTGAAACCAGTGGAGGCACAACACTACGAAGTTCGGTTTCTGAGCCTGCATCCTCCAGGCTCCGGCATTCTTGGCCTGAAATTCCACCTCCCCCCAAATGTTTTGCTACCATTGGAAGGTGGGCAGGGAGGGAGCAGCTCAACAAAGCATGACCTCGATACAGGAAAAATCATCATCACAGTTATCGTAGGAGCAATAGCAATGATTTTTATTTCGAAAACACGCATTTAATTATCAGGAGAAGTAGTGAGCCCAGTCACGACTAGCAAACGAAACACTATGACTCGGACAATCAACCCAGAAGCGAAACCAAGTGGCAAGCTTGGCACCCTCGGCTGCCGCCATTTGCGCACATACTGAGCCAAAGTTTCCAGCGGCGCCTGTGACGACCACCTCAGGCTTTTGAGCAAGGTGGCTAATCTCCTACCAGCTTTGACAACTGCATACCCTCCATCCTTCTGACTCGAAATTAAGCTCCTGATTTGCTGCCCAAATGCGACTTTATCCTGAAATCGATTGCCGCGTGCTGGATAGGGGCTCTTGCCCTCCACACGCGCGCGCTTAGCTTCCATGGCTGCAGCGATCTAAGACTTCCGGATGCAGGATGTTTGTCCAGACTTCTATACCGTGCAAAGAGGATGCATGCTTTCTACGAGTGCAGATGCCCAATGCTGTCCAACCGGCTTACTCTGGCAGTAGGCTGTGAGCTTCCTTGAGGGGTGAAAAAGCTCTTGAATTACATCAATCTTCTGAGAATCTAGTCACCTGCACAGTGTCTGTCCATCAGTGTCATGGATGCTTCAAGTTGGTGTTTCGTGCCGTGAAGTTTCCAAAATGTCAGTTGCATAGATACGCTGTGCTCCGCTTGCGGCCAGAGCAACCCAAGCTTGAGGGAGCTGTTGCACCCTGTCAATCATCCTATACCCTCTCTCTGAATCTCTCCCGGGCACTCATCCTACACCCTTTTTGCACAAGGGACTCGACTGCTGACTGCTGCCCGTACTGCCCAGCTTGACCCACAAGACAGTACGCATGACTGTCATCCTACACCCCAAACCCTGAATCCTAAACAGCCGGGAAGACGGAAAACGGTTTCCAAACTGCCGCTCCGCCCACGAGAATCATGAAAAGTCGCTGCCCCAGACCGGGCAAACTTACAGATAGGAGTACATATGAGTCCTAATAAGAATAAAAACAATGGTAGTAACAATAGTAATCATAATAAACAATGATGTACATTTAATCATAACAACAATAGAAATATTAAGAGTCATAAGCATTGCCCATGACAACAATAATCTTCATTATCATAAGTAAGCCTGATTGGAAAATATGTCATTCGGAAGATGCACTTCGAATCCAAGGAGGCCCCCTCGGCTAACAGGACCATGTTTTCTCTGCCTCTGGGCTTTGCGCGGTGTCCGGCTTCGCCGTCTCGAGCCTTCAGGGCGGAAATCCGGAGGCTGCTTTGTGCCACTCGCTTTCTTGTTGATTTGCTACATCCATGTGCCACGCCACTTCGAAAGTCCACTGTGCAAGCGTTAAGGTTGTCCGGTTGCAATTTCAAACCGAACAAGGCCTCCAATGCAGCTCAAGATGCAGCAACACTAACAAGTCATCGACCGAGTTTCCCACAATTCCAAGGCTTCGAAGTCGAAGGCGAGGCAGTTCGTGTCTGCCTGGCCAACTCAAGATAGGCACTGCAATGCTCCATGTTGGGTAATGATCGTCGGCCTGCTTCTTGACGGTTCCATAGGCACCGAACCCCAGACTGGACATTCACACCGAACACTTCCCGCCTCTGCCTGCTTCGTGTTCTCTGGGACTTCAACCTGTCAATCATGGGTTGATTTTGGTCGAAGTGTCATCACAACTCTCATCACGGATACAGTAGCCGTTGACCATCGTGCTGTCAAGCGCAGCTTCCTGCCTTGCAACCTTCCACGCAAGGACTCGGCACTGATCTTACCGCTATTCATCTCTTGTCACAACTTCCGCACTGCATTTTCATTTCATTGGACATGATGCGTTTCCAAATTTCATACAGCAGAACGGCATTTTGTAGCAGTAGTCCGGTGCTGCAACAGCCTGTGCCGCGCTTAGCTAGTTTTGCCTGCTGTGTTCCTGGAAAATCCTGCAGCAGTAGGAACGAGTGCAGAATCGGAGCTCCTCCCTCCAGTGTGATGACTCCGAGCTATTGCGGTCGTCTCTTACACCGACGGCCGGATGCTCTCTACATGTTTGCCTGCCTCCTCGATGGCAGACTCCAGCGGCGCGGCAGGGATGGACAAGCGCAATCGCCGTTCCGCATACCTGTGGCAAGCCACAGTGCACCCGCATGTAGGTCCTAGTCTAGTCTAGTCTAGTGTAGTCTGGTGTTTTCTCAGTAACATTCCGGAGCTGTTCCCCCTGATTGAAATGCTGAAAGACTTGTCTACCCGGACTGTCCCGCTTCCAGTGGGAGTGTGGCGGGGCTGGCAAATGTCCTGGTGTCCAGAGTCCAGAGGACAAAATGGCATCTACTACCAAGGTGATAGCTTTCAAGCGAAAGTTGTACATGAGAACTAGAAAACCAACAAGTAAATACCCTAAACCTTACGGTGAACGCGGGTATTGCTGTTGGGCACTCACGACGGAGCTCGGCGTTTTGCTCGGCCACACGACTGCGGTAGCTGAGCTCCTGAAGGAAGGAAGTCAGATCAAAAACTAAGCTATCATGTTTCGGCGCTCAAACTCGGACGATCCAGGGTTTACGCTCTCGCAACACGGTCTAGGGTTTCAAGTTTAGGGCCCAAACGTGTTGACACTAACTATAACACCACTACTCAACACAAGCCGGACTCGAGGCAGGTCTGCTGAAAGCCGTGCGTTCAGACGACTGTACGTTTTCAAGCAAGCTTCCCAGTAAAGGATCAGCGATCACATAAACAAGGATGCCGCCGCACACCTTTGCCATAATGAACCTTTAGCAATGCTTTCGACATGTCCCCACGACTGCTTGAGGGTCACCTCCAGTTCCTGATAGATGGGCATGAACTTGTTTAACACCCGGGTTAGCAGTCGTCAGGTGTCCAAACACGGTAGAATCAAGACGTGCGAGTCCATCAGCATCGGTGGCTTCTTGGAATGCTGAAAATATCGACCGGCACAACTACTCCCGATTGACTCGCCCTGGCCTTCTTCGATGATTTAAACTGAACTGCCCCTCGCTGCCCAATTGGCATGCGATAGAGGCACGTTGAAACTCTTTTGTGCAGTTGTGGCCTACCATGCTTCCGTTCCGCAAACCTGCGCACACAAACGGCCGCAACAGTCACATAGTCGACAGGACAGCCGACGGAAGACGCTCTCTCTGCAGATCCAGGTCTAGACTACAGCATGAAACAAAGGTTCCACGTTTTGGCTCGGACAGCCAGGTGAATGGCCAGTTACAGCACGATCTCAGCAACCGTCTCTGCGAAAACTGTGGTGTTTCCTTGGCTGTTCTTCTGGAACCCTGACTTAGGCTTCTCCCAAGCTCCCTTCTTGTTCTTGTGACGAAGACGATCATGTGATGCTCGACTCCAGAACCACAGTTCGCTCATGAACACCGAATCTATCCCGCAACGGCCATGCAAGCGAAGAGCCGGAAACCATTCTCGCCAATTCGACCTACCTTTGAACAAGGCCATCCTTCAGTGACCTGAATGCAACCCTTTCTAGGCCCCGAGATGTTCCGAGTTGCTGCAGGTGCCCGTAACCTTGCCGCCCCAAGCTTTGGCAACTGCGGATGCACGCTCCGCCTCTCGGAAAAAAAGTGGAAGGCTCGGGGAGCTGCTTGGCATGCAGACCGGACGCTGTTTTGGGTTGGTGATAAGTGCACTGTCAGCTTGGACGGGCTGAAGGGGTCCAGGGCTATGCAGCCATGAGAGCGAGAACCATCCGAATCCGGTCCCATCGCATCCGTCTCTGACATGTGATGTTTCAGCATGGCCATGTCTATGAGATGAAACAGCTAGCCGAAATGAAACCCTACACGCACTTATAAGCTGTGTTTAAGCTCTCACATCTTCAACACAGGTATTTTGGTCAAACCTGTCAAAAGAGCAGGTCGTCCCGTTCAGCCACTTCTGCGACTCTTCCTACGCAACCTTGAGGACCCAGCTCTTTCAGGTATCTTGTGCACAAAGATGGCAGAACCTCAAGTCCATCCACTTATCGTACCAGTCACAATGTCTCCAACAAAAGCGGTTGTCGAAGGATCTGTATGACCAACTATCGAGGCTGCCTGCTCCAAAAGGGGTCCTATCCAGAGATGATCGTCCAGAAACCCTAGATCCGAATGACCTAACACCACCAGATGAAGATGGGAAGAAATCCTAAATCTGACCCCGAAGCCTCTTGACCCCCTGAATCCGAAGCCCCATCCCCCAAAACACCAAACCCCTCCCGTAAGCCAAAAGTCCTCGACATCCTCAGCCCTAAAGCCTAAACCCAGTAAACTCTGGAGCTCAAAGCTTTGCCTGCGATGCCGGGAGCCAGGTCAGGTTTGCATTCAAGCAGTAGACCTTGGCTGCGTCCCGTTTAGGAAGGAAAGACAACAGTATACGTTTACGTTTTTGACCTTTTGGATTTGTCGACTGTGTCGAACACAAGGACGCACTCGGACTCTCCAGGCGAGGCTGCTCAGGTCGGATGGGCTAGCAAGGACCTACATGAGGACCACGCGAAAAGGAACCATCCCAAGCAGCTTGGATATTTCGGCTCAGGGATTTTAGGGTTTTTGGCTGCGGGCTTCAGAGAGTTTTGGACGTCGAGGTTAAGTGTGAGGGGTTGGCAGAATTTCACGGCTGCACATAGCACTGCTCTGGGCTTGTCATTGCTCACGGCGTAAAATTTAGCAGAAATGCATAGCAATGCGTTAGGCAAAGGGGCAAAGGGTAGTTGTTGCACGAAAGATACTGTTGCAGTCCTGACATGACTTATCGGTAGCGCAGCCTCAGGTGGCATGGGGTGCAAATGCAATAACCTCCTACAGCTATGCCGTTTCAGTGTCCCGACCTCACATGCAGCGCAGGTGCTGGCCACTTTGCGCACTCGCCGTTCTGCTTACAAACATTCTCCGTGTCGGCGACCCTCAGACGATGTGCTTCGATTGTGGTCCATGTGGCGAAAACATGGCTGCTGACACACTCAAATAAGACATTCACATCGTCTGAAAGGCTGGTAGCAGATAGCTGCGGGGTCAAGGCCAAGCTCATTGCATGTCAGATGCTTTCGACTTACTTGATATCTGTATCATGTTTACATACTTACATAGGCTTTGTTGTATGCTATGTAATACTACATTCCTGGTTCACAGCACAATCTACGACATGATCCTGTATGTTTTGCGCTCCAAGGATCTTTTCTTTGCCGAGGCCAAACCTTCGTTTACAAGAGACCATGTACTCTGACAGACATGCAGCAAAGCATCGGCGGGGTGTCTCTCGTCGCAGGCAAGTCTATGCCAGAGGCTCTGATGGAGGATGCGGACGGACTCTATTAACCATGATCTTCTCCCTGATGCTGTTGATGAAACATCATGCTCTATCAAGCTCTATCATTATCATTCTTCTTCTTCTTGTCATTATTATGGTTTGCAGTGTTCCTGTTGTTGCCAAGCAGCAAGCCAAAGGACATCTCAGATCCACCCTTCCAGTACCTCGGTTCAGCATTTCGAAGGCACGCAAAACTCGAAGACCCGTGCTCTTCTGACTGTCGAAACCTGCATCACACATGGTGCAGAGCAAGCGACGCCGTCTGAAACCTGAGGCGAGGCAACTTTCATCAGGCTTAAACGGTCTGGGCAACTGGAGGTACGACCAAGCAGATTCCGGGCATTGCAATCCAAGGATGCTCGTACCTTTTCCGTTGCGCTGTGCAGGCAGAATTAGCAGGCGGACTCCTTTTCTGATTCCACGCAGAGCTGGGGCTGCAGGTCATGCAGGTACTTCTTTGGCAAGACCATGCAACTGCTTTGGGAGCAAGCGTTGGCAATGTGCGGCAACATGCCAGATGAAATGACGCTAAGTTGCAGCACACGCCACCTTATGCTGGAATCAGTCTGAGGCGAGGAAGCAATCTCATATGCATGGACATGGCGGTGCCGCACATGTACCTGACTATCTTCCAGAGATTCAAGGGGCCTCTGGCAGACTCCAAGAGTCCTGGGCCCCAAGCGTCCACCCTCCATCGTAAACCCTAAACCCTAAACCCCATACCCAACCCCTTCAAGTGTTGAAGCCCAAGGGGCCTTAATGATTACCTATATTATTTCGGGGATTCCTTTTTAATGGTTATAGTCTTAGTTTATAATGTACCCTGAAGGGCTCCTGAACAGACCCTGAAATGCCCCCCAAACTTCAAAGGAAGTCAGAGCGGGCTCGCGACAAGAGCGATCCACCAGCGGCCCCCACCTTCGAGAAAACGAAGGTTTAGGGTTGATTTTCCTCCCACCTAGCTAGAACGAGCCGCATTGCAGGGTCTTTTTAAAGGGTTTGGGGTTTACTGCATCGTTGTTCCCCTCTCGTGTGGCGAAGACGATGCCGACAAGCGAGGTTAGCTTTGGGATGACTTAGGGGTCGGTGGAATATTCATGAATATTCTGTACTTCTGCTGGCTTAGGGTTTATTATGCACCATATTCGGTATTACAGGACTTGTCTCTATGTTCTACTGCAATGAAACCTTTTTTTTGCATCATGGCCTACGTTGAAAAGAACATGTACTTCTTAGCACCAAAGGCATCAGCTCAAGTTCGGAAGCATTCAAGGATCGCGGCCGAGCCTAGGTGATCTCTGGTGCTCACGATTCCTAGGGTTTAGGTTAGGGTCCGAGCACGGCGGGTCTGGCGGGCATCAGCAGCAGCATGGAAGAAGCACAAACCACACCTACAGCCCAAAGCCACAGTACTGGCACGAACAAGCACGAAAACCGAAGCACAAAATTAGTAATATCACTTCGTATCAGCAGACAACATGCACGGTTGAACCAATGCCTTGGGATGAGCCACGACAACCCACCTGGGCTGGAGTGCCGGGCACTGAGTCTCACATATCTCAGTCAAGCGTGTAGCTTCGATGCAAGCAGGCTTAGAGCAGTTCTCGGGGTCTGCATCTTGCATTGAAGTCATTGCAGATGACAAGCCTGCCAATTCTCCAGAGCCATGCACAAGCCTTGTACTAATTCAGTGGAGATGGGTAGCTCCCGATTGTTGGAGCCGAAGGGCTCATGCGCGGGCGGTTTCGCTTCCAACTTGTCAAAGGCCTGTCAGGGAAATGCGCTGTGCAAGCCTCTGCTGGCAGTCAATCAATCGTTCGTTCACTGTTTACGAAAACGAGTCTCCGAGACATGAACCACACGGCCTTAGGACCCTGAACCGACATGACAGGACCGGATCCCCCAAACACAGCCGGGGGGATCTCCTCAGGTTGGAGCAGGATCCCAGTGCTTGCTGAAGCTACTCGCCCCTGCAAGCCGGAAAGCCTCCGTCAACACCAACTCTGCCACAAGACACCGCGAGTTCATCCTTGATTTTCTAAGATCCTTTTCCCGATGTGACCTCTCCCTTCCCTCGGATCGTACAGTGATAGTCGTTAAGGCTGAACTTCAACGCTTGAGATCGGGAGGGCAAACTGGTGTTGCTGGTGAGAGCGGGGATGTTGGCCAGTTAAGGATGAAGTCCGGCCTTGCGGGGCTGACAGGCTTCTCCCATGATCTGTAAGGGTGAGTACACCGGCTATCATAGGGCTCAACATAAGCATTCTGTAGGGTTTGGGCGAACTGAAGGTATTGGTTATTGACTATAGGCTCAGGGGTTTATCCGGACTAGCCAGCTGAGGTTCACGGTTCGCAGTCGGTTGCAAACAGGAGATACAACGCGCACAAGGGCTTGGCTTTCGCGGAACATTGACATGCTCCACTCCAGTTTTCTAGCCTAGGGTGCGAGGAGATAGAGACCACTTCTTTCCCTATATATATATATATATGTATATATATATATATATTAGATAGATAGATAGATAGATAGATAGATAGATAGAGATAGCTATGGCTCAATTCACTACCGTTCTGCACAAAGATGAATCGCCCAAGAAATGAAGCCTCGTCTGACGCAAAGGGAAAGACGAATCGCCAGCGCATTGGAAAGCCTAGGAATGTGCGACACGAAAATGCTTAGCATACGTCCGCCAAGAGGACAGCAGGAATGCGCGACGCTGGGACCCAGCCCGTCATCGAGTCTTGGAAGTCCAATGTTGTAAGACACGGCCACCCTAAACCCCCAACCCTATATCCAACACCGAAGCTAGAACACCAAGCCCGACAGCTCTAGCCCTGACCCTACAGCCTATAACCTGCGTCTGCAGGCCAGCAGCTTAGAACCTTGTCGCACTCGAGTCCAGCCGCCTCCACCATGGAGCAGGCTTCCTGCAGAATTGCCTACGAGTACTTTACTGTCGACCCTTTATCGACGAAAGACCACTCCCCGGAAAAGGGTTGTAATCCCGAGCCGTTCTCTGGGTCTGGTCTGCATGCCACCGTACAGACGTACATTTTCCTGAAGCTTCTTCAGGAAAACCCCTGGCGCCCCCGTTCGGCTCCTTCTTGGAGTAGTGCTTCGTCAGCGCGAAAACACGAAACACGTTGTCAGCCTCTTCGTCCGGGTGGTCATAGAGGTAGTCTGCATACTTGCCCAAGCCACTTTCAACGCCGCCTCACATGGGCTTGTTCAGAAACAAATATAGCCTCAACATCCCCAAAGATCGACAACGAGGCATTTGGACGTTGTGCTGTCCTTCAGAATGCACGAGCCCGCCTAGCTTGCGGTACAGCTTCCGCACAGCCCGGTACGACTCCGCACTCGGAACGAGAAGCAGTAAGGTGGAGCCCGGTTCCTGACATCACTCAGACATCCCTGTCTTGAGTTTATCCAAATCGCCGAGACTGATTATGTAAGAAGGATTTCGGAAACCCAGTCTCTAAAGCAGGAATCATGCAATGAAGGGCTCTAGTAGGCTCTCTCATTTTCGGAAAGCCCCCAAAAAAATCAAGCGACGCACACGTTGCGAAGGGAAGCAAGCTTTCTAAATACAGACCACTGTAGACATTATCTGGCATTATCTTCAGCCTTGAGCGGGAACCCTGAGCCCTACAAGCCGTTCAACATCCTATGAGCCACAATGGCTAGGTCCAAGCTTTGAAAACAAGCTCGCTGTTCATTTCTGTTTGGCTTTCTGCGCCCTTTCCTCTTGATCTGCCTCTTTATGTGATCTCGAAACGGGCCCTCGTGTCACAAGTTGATGAAGGATATGGCTCGCACCACAAACACTGCCCTACACTGCGTACATACAAAAGGATATTCCCAAGTTTTGTAGGGGAAGCTAGCTGTAAACTGGCCAAGACAACAAAAGGATGAAATGCACATCAAAACATCTTTTGTGGACCGGAAACCGTAGACATGTTCGGTTTCCAAACTCTCTGCAGCAGTAACTTTTCTCTCAGAGGCTAACCTGGGTAGCTCAAAACCCCAGTATACTAACTCTGATGATAATGTTAACCTGCCATTTATAACCCCCCCCCCCCCCCATTATAAAACCCGACCCCCCAAACTCAATTTTTTGAGAGTTTCCTGATGTCGGTTTGCTTAACTTTGTGGGAATCCGTTAACTGCAATTACTACGACCGCTCCAGTATTGCAGAAACAAAGAGAATTACGCCGACGGCTCACGCATTGCAGAGAGCGAGAAACTGCAATTACTGCGACCCTTCCCTAAACCCTAAACCCTAAACGGTCCGGCATGGCAGAGAGAGAAGCTGCGAGCACTGCGTGGGACTCCGAAACGGCAGATTTAGAGGATCTCACAAACCATGCATTCCTTAACAAGGGTTTAGGGTTTAAGGTTTAGGGTTAAGGGGCTTGGGGTTTAGGAGCATAGGGGTTTTGGGGTAACAAAATTCCTTATTCCGGCAGCAAAAAATCAATCCCTCCTCATGGAGTTATTAAAAGAAGCCGTTCTTCCTAATTATAAAACCCCCTCAACCCCACTCAATTATAAACTCCTCCGGGGGAGGGCCTTCTGGTGGTGCCTGCAGAAGCAAGGGAAAGGAAAGCAAACTTTGGAAGCCACACCCTTGATTGGGAAAGCTTTCGATTCAGAAGGACAGCAAGCTTTAGAATTCAAGCCCTGGATTCGGAAAGCTTTCGATTCAAAAGGACAGCAAGCTTCAGAAACCAAGCCCTTGATTGGGAAAGCTTTCGATTCAAAGGGAAAGCAAGCTTTGGAAGCCAAGCCCTTCATTCGGAAAGCTTTGGATTCGGAAAGACAGCAAGCTTTAGTTGTACTACTGTACTATTGTAATACTGTGCTACTGTACTGCGACGACCAACCCCCCTCAACTATCTATCCCCCAGCCTGGGCCTGAAATCAATCAANNGGGGGGGGGGGGGGGTATTAATGGCAAGTGCACATTAACCTCTGGATTAACTCTTCAGGGCGGGTTCTGGATCTAGCAGCAGTGCAGCCATAGCGACCGGGCGCAGCATCTCGACCTCCCGCCGCAGGATGTTCCTTCAGCTGCAATGGATCTATGTTTAGGGTCGTTCAGGATTGTTTCGGCTTCACGGTTTACAGTGGTGGCATCATGCACCTGCAACCGTTGAAGCCCACCAAGGCCAACTACTGCAAAACTCGACAACGAACGCGCAAGTCAGCCGAGGTACTCTCTGGCTTGTTTGTTCCTCGGCTTGCAACTCGCTGCAACGGAGTTGGGGAAATTCCGGCCCTGCGCAGTCCGCTAGATGCGGTGTGCCCATGCCTTATGACCGACAGTCAATGGTCAAATTTGATTTAGGTTCCGGGCTCAGAAAAGATCGCCCGTTACAGACGACATCACAAGACTATCGTTGTCCGTGTCATTCCGCACACGGGCTGTTGGTATGGGCAGCGCATACCCTGTGCTCAGCAGTTGCGAGAATTTTCGAGAGGGTTCAAGGCTCAGACTCGCTCGCCTCTTGGGCAGGGTGTGGGCTGCTTGCTTGGATTCATTAATTGTCGGCATTCATCGCCACCGCACCTGCTCTGGCCACGTTTAATCCGCGAACCAACCGCATGAGACAGCACATCTACCATCTTCAACGTAAGCCAATGGGGGAGGACAGGGTGCCGTAGAGAAATGAACTCTTCCCTTGTACTATCCGGCTCACCATGTCGGGTTGATGCGAGGTAAACACGGCAGGCCGCAGTCTACTCCAGTCTGCGTTTCAGAGGAACCGAGACCTGTGTTTCTAGTTCTAAATCATGGCCGGTGCACCAAGCTCTGAACAAAGCTAGTGGAGCAGCGCTGGGCAATGGCAAGCTACTAGTAAAGGACCCTATCTAAAGGAAGCCCCAGTTTCGGAAAGCCACACGCTCCAGTATAGGGAAAGTTTGAGACAGTGGGCCAGACAAGACCTCCATAGCACTTCGCAGCATGCACTGATCCTTTTTGCTGCATCTTCTTCTGAAGATTGGGGGTTTGCTGGAAGCATGGCTGCACTGCTTTGGAGATAGATCTTGCGACTGGTGTGCTTTGGTTTATGGGCTTAGGGTTGATGCAGTGCTTTGACATCCATCCTGCTCGTGGAGAGTTTTTCCACATCGTAGAGAGAGCCGGCGGCTCTGGGGAACGACGCCTGTGCATCAGGAAGGTGTCGTGCAAAAGAAAGCCTGGCAGAGTCGATTGCGAGTCGACTGAAAAGCAATACCATGCAGGATTTGGCAACAGGATAGAATGGGTGAAATGATGGTACAGGTAGTAACAGCTACTGTCTTGGTCACGCCAGGCATTTCGTGAGGTCCCTGGGAAAGACCATTCGTTGCGCCGTCTGCAGTGTGGTGGTGCGTAAGGGTGCAAGGCTCAACTTTAAATGTGGTTTGGGGTATATTAAGATACCGTTATGCTTCGGAAACCACAAGGAATACAAGACTTTCCGATTCCTTGCGGACAATCTAACCACCTGCCCCTGCCCCCTAAGCTTCACAACGTGAGCACTGCATACGGCGCAACCACATCAAAAAACGTCGGGAAAGCACTGGAAAGAGAGGCCAATGGCAGCTCCGCAGCACTGGCATCTGGATGTAAACATATAGACCCGGCACACTTGGCCAGAACGAATATGGATGACCTTGAGGGTGAAAATCAAGGCGCGGGAAAGAGAACTCTAGAATTGAAACGCCACCCGGTCTCAATCTTGACCGGCCTCATGGCATGCGCACGACAACCAGCACAAGCGCTCCACAGCTCGTGCAGTCGTCATGCATGGAAAGGAATGTGAATGCGAAGTTGCTTCTTCTGTGTGAAACTGCCAGCAAATTGCCCAAAAGACAGACAAACTACGGTATCATGCATCATGCGCTCGAAGAGCCTGAAATGCCATCAGCCATCACTGTCCTGGGCTGCTGCATCGCTCAGGACTCATCGAGCGCTCCGTAGTCACCGTCGCCGAACTCAACGGGCTGGAGGTCTGAGTCGAAATCTCATCCTGTTCTTCTTCGTCTTCGTCGAGTTCCAAGATGGTGCAGGCCCTGAAGGACCGGAAGCTGCGTTTTGCCACAGGCGGGGCCGGGGCTGGATTCACTGTGCCGGCACACGTCTGCGAGTCGGGTGTTGGTGATAGCAGCTGGGAAGCCTTTGCGCAAAGCCAGTCAACTTTGACAGATGCCAACTGTGCGTGAGTCATGGCTTGAAGCTTCCGCCCTAGGATTGCCATCTCAGGACCGATGTCTGCAACTTGAAGTACCCGCTGCACGAGTCCTCTTGCGCTCGCTTCACCGGCAGAAATGTTGCCTGCCTCCACTGCGAACTCTGCGTCATCTGATGTCATGACATAGTCACAGCTTTGAAGCAGGTCTGTCGCTAGCTGGCAAAGAGATGCAGTGACGACGCCCACGACTGGCTTGCGAATCTGGTGGAGGGCCTGGCGAACTTCCGAGATCAACTCCTCATCGAAGCAGCTTCCTGTTGCTTCTGATCCTAGCAGGACCAGAAAAATGGCCGAGGGCAGCTTCCCCTCAACACAGGATCGCAGCTGCTTCAAGGCAGATTCCAATGAGGACGCTGCCTGAGGCCTCATGGAGACCGGAATTACGAGGGCCCCCTGCTGCGGCATCGACAAGCCTTGTGTCGTGATCCGCACGGGCAGCACGAGTGAACAAAAAACCTAGGCAGCTGGCCCACCCTTGAGCCATAGCCATTTAAGCGCGTGGAAAGTCTGCCAACCCTCCTTCACTGTTTGGGGGCTATGACGGCATAAGTTTCACAGACGGGGTTTAGGGTTTAGGTTCCAGCTTCGCTTCTTTCGGGTTTTGCGCTCCCGCCCCGGACTGTACTACCACTTGCTACCCAGGCTGAGCCTCCGGGCTACAAAAGAAGCTTCGTTGTTCATTTTTCGCTGGGAAGTCTTGCAAAGAGAATGGTCACCGAGTTCTTTGCTTGTTATCTTACACGCCATCTCCTCAGTCCACAGAGCTGGACAGGACGAAAAGCGCTGTCAATTAACAGCGCTGCGATAATGATGATGATGATGATGCGCAGTGCTGGCAGCCAGCCATTCGAGCAAGGTGCCGAGGCAGGCCGCAATGATCAGATATGCGCAGTGAGGCATTGACAGTGCCAATTCAATCCAGTGTCTTGAAGCCATTCCATGTCTGGAGTAAACAGGCAAGGATCAAGACAGAGAGAGAGAGAGAGAGACAGAGCGAGACAAAGAAACAGACGGAGACAGGCAAACAAACAGAGAGAAAAAGCCCCGAAAGGGGAGGAGCACCCCTTTGCAGTATATGGATTTGAGTCGATCTGTCATGTTGATCCTGGCCTGCTGACTGCAATCTGGAGCTACAGCCGCGTTGCGGTGAGAGAAGGACGTTGAAGCTGGCCACCAGGTCGGCAGAGTGCGTGGTACCGGGCACGGATGGGCCACAAAGCTCCTCCGCAAGCATGTCAACTCGGACAACTGCATTCAGTCAAGTCAGTTGTCGTCGTAATAATAGCCGTCGCAGTTTCGTGGTAAGCCAGCTAGTAGTATTGAAGTATAGTACTACTCAGTACGTAGTAGTAGTAGTAGTAGT